TATGTCCAGTAAGGAGGAAGGACGGGGGGACGAAAGCCTGCAAGCTCACTTCACACCGATAGCAGGGCGTTATTAGAGATGTTCGAACATGAAGCAGCAGATTTTGATTACTGTAAACACAGTGTTGGGACGAGGGACAGTTTCTCGAAAAATAAAAACGGAGAGCTAAGAAACGAATGAGGCGCAGATACGAGTCCATTCGTCATTGGTATGCTCTCGAGGGTAGTTCCCCACCTAGCACTGACGGCCACCGTTGTGTGCGTATCTTCGCAACTTTCTTGTAATTTCTCATCGACAGTCATCATCCTAGCTAAAATTCACATGGGTTACATATACATATGTCGTTTTCTGGGATCCGATAATGTATATAGGCACCCTTGGAATATGAGCAATACGAAATAGTTCGAGTAACCACTTCCGTGCAGAAATGCGGCCCTTAACGGCATGCCCCAGGATCACATTGGTGTGGCTCTTGTACGTGAATGCGAATGTATTGGTGCGAAGTGGGCCGGCAGTGAAGAAAAAAAAAGAAAAGAATCCGTCAAAAACGCTAGGCTAAGAGCTCACTCACTTTCAATTTCTACTCTGCTGAATGAAACCTAAATGGACTAACCGAATTCTCGCACTCCTCAAATTCGATAAAACTGGTCACAGTGACGATCCCCGATCTGATTTAAGTCAATGGCTCACCATCAGTGGTTGTTGTCTGTATGCTTTGCTTGTGGGAAGCATCCGGGCCTTCATTACTAGCCCAGCTTGCCAATTCCACGTGGGTGGCCGGTAAACCCGTGTCTCGAAGTTTTGGCAAGTGCCTATGACCCCGGATGTGGCGAAGGGCATCATAGCCGGCTGATGTGGGCTTTCTGTGTCAAGGCTCCGTTTTTTACTTCGTGCTTACAGCAGCAACTTCCTCAAAGTGATCCATTTATATTCCTGTACATAACCTACCGTCACTATTATGGACCAGTAGTTTGCACTTTTAAACCTCCCAGGTTGTCTGCAAGTGTCAGTTCTCTAGCTGTCGCCTTGCACTACACATATTACGCTTTTGGCTTGTGTCGCTAATTCACTCTAATGTCTGAATATACACCAAAATTTAGGATTATGGATGTCATTATGCGTTCGCATATTTTTTAATTTTTGTTGTCTAAGTGCATGGTTTGGTTATTATCTTGCGTGCTTATCTTAGCGGTCATGCTACTCTTAATGTTCCGTAGCGGTTCGTTCGCCTTTATCGGCTGTCTGTCGAGTAATACTATATTCACACAAGCTCAACAGTACCACTGTTAATCGGCCATTGGGATCGGCTGTGCTAAGGGAATGAGAGACTAAGCGCGGAGAGGAGAGTATGGGGCGAGAGAGCGCTACAGATGAGAGATCGCCAGACAACAGCCTGATAAGAGAAAAAAGTCTGCAGCTTGGGCAGCTTACTTTGCAAGGCCCAAGCGCTCTTATCGGTTGGTTTCCGTGCACGAGAACGCCACATTTGTGATTGTCCTCTAGGGGTCTATTCCTACTGACCGAAGAGAAGCGCTCACAGACCTTTGCCTGGGTTGTGCCTTTGAGTGGTCCGCACTGTTTTCAGTGTGCTGAAAAAATTAATTTTCAGTGTGCTGAATAAGTTCCATACATACTAGTAGCTCCTGAATGGCCTCTCACTCATTTTCAAACCGCGAAAGTGGCACATCATCTGCAACTGCGGACCGATCGTTAAACTCGTGGAAAGAAGATTGCCAATCTCAGCTGATATTAGAATGGGCCTTCTTCAATTTTGTGACGTATAAATGCATAATAAATATAAAATTTTTACGTCGACGCTATCTGGAATACATTCAACATATATGGGACCGATCAAAATCTACGAAGCGTCCGTTACACATAATTTATTGTTAGAGGCTTATCACGCTTCTGTTTTCCTATCAGGTGATCTACCTACGTCGCACTGCCTACCAGGGACAACCGTCGTTGGTAAAACTCGAGCAGGAGGTCGCAATGGGTAAGGTAGTACTCGGGATTCAGCAAGGCCATGCATCCATTTGGAAAACTCAAGCCGGAGTATTTTTTGTGGGAGCTGAAGTGGTTGTCAGTGTAGAAAAAGATGGGTAGTTTTTTGGGGGTTGGAGACAATTTTTTCAAATTTTCACGAAGAACGCATGGAGTGCGTGAAACTAAGTGTGGAATTAGCCGTTCAATAGTAATACCCTTGAAACCCTCTGACCTGCGACGGCATGGCATGTAAGGGAAATTTTAAGGCGAAATTGGAGTGTCTTACCGTACCCAGAAGCAATTACCATAGGAACAGTGGAGGCAGTCATGGTGCTAGAGTGGTGGGCAGGGTCCTGAACTCTTGAGAACGGCCGAACGCGACGGTTGACCCTGGTCCAGCTGTTCTGCCCGCCATGGTAAAGGCGTGGTATGGTGCTTTTTTCATAACAACAAATGATCGATTCCAGCGGTAAGCCTAAAATCGTTGTGTTTCACATTCGAATTTATAACTAAAGTAAAAATTACATAATAAAATCATGAACACAAAATAAATAAATGGAACGGATTTTTCAGGCCGAAACAACGACAAACTACAGCTGGCATTAACCACTATGGAAGATATCCATCAGAGTAAGAATTTAATCGGATTTATGAAGATTATAAAGATGAGTTAAACCACTACCAACTTCAGAAATAGACCCGCCGGTGTAGGGAAGTTCCGTCGGGATACTGTCGAAGAGAGCGCCTCTGTGTTGGAGGACTTGGATCATCTGCTAGATAACGAGGAGCTGACTTTGCAACAAAGAATGAGCAGACTAGAGGTATGTACCAATCAAATGATTATCACCTTATCATAGAAACTCTGCCGCTCTAAAGGAGGACACATTCTAACCTTCCACCTTGCAACTACGATTCTTTTCTTTTTTCCTTTTCTCTTCTGAAATTACCCTAATTTCCGGTGTATAAGCCCGCGCCGATTTCACGTAAAACCACCCCCGCTCGTGCAGTGTAACTTTGTACACCTTAGAAACCACCGCAAATTTGCCTATA